GTGTTAGTATTCCAATGATTATCGTTGTTATTGTGTTGTCTCTTGTGTTCACTATCATCGACTATATTCGCATGGATGTTCCTAATTTTCCCGTAGCACGATTTTGTCGTTTGTTCGACTACCGGTCGATGATTAATTCATGATAATTAATGAGTATTAAATCAAAAATATGTTGCCGCCGTGGGGGATTGGACGCTGCGCGGAAAGTTGTTTGAATTTTTCAAATCGCCCCTTGGGACTATTCAATTGGAACGTGCTGCGCTCTCCGGTTACGTGCTTTACATATGTTTCTCATTTTTTAGGAACATCTGCAAAAGAACGGGCATCGTGAATAAGTTGTTAATCATTTTGTTTTCAATAATGAAAAGGAATGGCAAGAGTGCTTCACTTTTCTCAGAACTGACAGTTATGGCGAAATTTTTATATCTGTTTAAAATCTGTTTAAAATCTGTTTTTCCGTTAACCAGCTGTCGCACCCCTACGAACGACAACCCTCAGAAGTCGAAACCCTCAGAAGTCAAATCCTACAATCGATATTTGAATCAAATTTTGTGTGGAACATGGAATAAAGTGTACAAAAACACTTGAAATGTTGACAGTAGCATATGGTGATTGTTTTCTGAGACAGAAAAAAAATTACAAGTGGTATTAGCTTTTCACAAAAGGTCGGGAAGATGTGAATGACGACGCTGGATCTGGGCGCCCAAAACACATCACCAACCGATGAAAATGTTGAGAAAGTGAGGAAAATCGTCGAGTCACTATTAGAGAAATTGCTGGGGATGTCGGCATATCGATTGGCTCATGCCACGTGATTTTTCGGAAATTTTGGTCGTGTAGCGTGTGGCAGCAGAGATCGTTCCAAAATCGCTGAATGTTTACCAAAAAAACGTCAACGGCGATCCAGATTTGCTTAAAATGGTCATAACTAACTGGTGACGAGCTGTGTGTATTTGGTCATGACATCGAAACCAGTGATTAAGTTGTTAATCATTTTGTTTTCAATAATGAAAAGGAATGGCAAGAGTGCTTCACTTTTCTCAGAACTGACAGTTATGGCGAAATTTTTATATCAAATCCTACAATCGATATTTGAATAAAATTTTGTGTGGAACATGGAATAAAGTGTACAAAAACACTCGAAATGTTGACAGTAGCATATGGTAATTGTTCTCTGAGACAGAAAAAAATTTACAAGTGGTATTAGCTTTCCACAGAAGGTCGGGAAGATGTGAATGACGACGCTGGATCTGGGCGCCCAAAACACATCAACAACCGATGAAAATGTTGAGAAAGTGAGGAAAATCGTCATGGGAAATCGTCGAGTCACTATTAGAAAAACTGCTGGGGATGTCGGCATATCGATTGGCTCATGCCACGCGATTTTTCGGAAATTTTGGTCGTGTAGCGTGTGGCAGCGGAGATCGTTCCAAAATCGCTGAATGTTTACCAAAAAAAACGTCAACGGCGATCCAGATTTGCTTAAAATGGTCATAACTAACTGGTGACGAGCTGTGTGTATTTGGTCATGACATCGAAACCAGTGACAGTAATCTGTGTATGTGACATTTGCTAGAAATCAATAGTTTTTTCCAAATATCGAAATACCATTATTGCATTACTTGAATGGTCCCAAAGTAGAACACCATATGATAGTATAGAAAGGAATAAAATGAAATGAAGAGAAGTAAGATAGTTTCAATACGTTTACATTGATTACTGGTTTGAGTTGTCTTGCAACAACTAAAACTCTAGGGAGCTTTCGAAGTACATAATCTACGTGGCCGGACCAGTTTAACCGATCTTCGATGACTACACCAAGAAAAGATACGTTTTGTCCTTTCTGATAGAGTGTATTTGAGGATACAATCAAGTTCTGTGTTTTACTTTCATTAAATTTGAGTCTCTTCTTTGTGAACCAGCTTTTGACTAAGTTTTTGTTCTCGTCAACAGTACAAAAGAAATCGATGTGTGTCTTATACGATTTCACAAGAGTGTTGTCATCAAGAAATACAATACATTTTGTTGGTATAATACTTTGACATTAGTCGTTTATGTACACAATAAATAAAAAAGGTCCAAGTGCTGAATCCTGAGGTACTCCATGTTGTATGGGTTCGATGTCGGATTTGATATTATTAAGAGCAACACACTGATGCTTGTTTTCGAAATAGGAGTTGGGGAGACTCAAAATGGTACCTCTCAAAACATAATAACTCAATTTTTCAATGAGTATCGCATGTGATACACAATCAAAAGCTTTGGTTAAGTCGAATGAAGTCAAGGAATTGTGCTTGCACTAATCAAGACCCTCTACTATGTCATTCACCATCTTGTACCTAAGCAGACTGAGTTGTGGATTTGTTTTTCCGAAATCCATTTCAAAGTAGGAGTATAGTGACTCCTTAAATAATTTTTTGATGATTTTTCCAATTATGGAGACAATACTAATTGGATGATAGTTGTCTGAAGATGATTTATTGCCTTTTTCAAACAAAGGAATAACTCTGGAGATTTTGAGTATGTCTGGAAAAACGTCCTCCTTGAAGATTTGATTGATGAGGTTGGTTAATGGCATGACTATTTGTTCAGCATTAGCTTTCAACTGTCAACTAAGAACTGCCTTATATAAAGTAATGTTCCTGAGTATATATATTCGTCAAAGGCGTGTTTCTTATGCTTCATTAAATCATTGTGGTATTGTGTTTATAAGCTTAAATATCTCGCGGGCTACCTGACACTTCGTAAATAATTTCAACAGCTTCGATACTGCTTCTCATTGATCTAAGTTTGTCATTATAATGCACCTGCTCGCTCGTCATTGCTTGTTTCTAATTTGTTGAACAAAAACAACGCCCAGATCATGCCTCAACCATCGTATTCACCAGATTTGGTCCTTTGTGACTTTTTCTCTTTCCCAAAATCGAAGAGACTAATGAACTGATTGCGTTTTGCGACGATTGAGGAGATGAAAACCGAATCGCTGGAAAGCTCAAGGACATAAAAAAAAGTTTATATCAAAACTGCTTCGAACGGACCTCGTATTTCATCTTTTTAGGTATACATCCTCGCCGCAGCATCCTTCCTGCCCTCCTCAGGTGTGGCGGCCGGCTTAGAATCGCGTGAGCGCAGATATGTAGTTGATACAAAGGACAAGTGAGCATCGCTGGGCGTGGGCGCGCGACAACTGTTCCGCTCAGCCCCGGGAAACCACCCAGGGCGACTACGACTCGTCGGTCACGCAAACACCAACACGACCAGGAGTGTTGCCGTTCTGTCGAAACGTCTTCCGCTCATCTAATTCACCTTCATTACGGTTACGGATGTGGTGTTCCACAGGGAGGGATTCGGCTTGGTCCGTTCCTTTCTCGGTAAGTGGGACTAGGCTGTCAGAATTACTATTCTCCCGCACCTGAACTGCGAAAAACCTTCTTCCGACGGAGATTTCTAGAAGTCTTCTCTGACTTGAGAAGTGCTTGCAAAATTCATTCAAAAATTTGTTAAGAAAATTACATACAAGGAGTTGATGCCACGCTCAATTCATATCCAAAATATTTTTGGCAGTTTATTAATGACAAGAAATCTCATGGTAGTTTGCCATCTACAATGTGTTGTGAAAATTCTATTGCAACAAATAAGGAACATCTATTATGAGCATTTATTACGTTTTACTATTAGAGTTACGAAATATAAATGGCTCACATATATATTTTCTTTATTGACTCTGAACAGTTTTGTCTTCAGTTCATCCGTGTACGCTGCTGGTCAAGAATCTATACTCAAACATGAGCCCAAACACGTGGATGGAATCACTTACCTGGCACGCTGACGAGAAAAAAATTCAATTAAAAAAGGCCATTATTATTCACCGCTTTTATTGTTAATATATTCACATGAAGCTGTTGCCCACCATGTCCAACTTGATCGCTTGTAATAGTTTAGATACAATGTTATAACTTACCAATGTTATTCTGATCTCGCCAAATAGTCTTTGCATTTTGGCAGGGGCGTAGGTAACAGTTGGAAGATGGCCATCATAAACTTCAACTGAATTAATTTTAGGGTAAACTACTACAATGGCTCTTCCTTTTCCATTAGAACTGATGGGTCATAAAAAATATGAAACGTTCCCAATATTATTCAGCTGCCAATGTCAATCAGACTTGTCTCGTTAATTATAACAACTTTTTTGATCAAATAATTTGTCTATATCTGAGGGTCGAATTTTCATCTGGCTAAACAGGCGTACCAACTTTACACGTACACCAACAATTTTGCCTTATCTATTATTTTACAATATATGTTTAAATAAAACAATTTTCAGCTATATAAAAATTAATTTCACAATATTGCCTATCCAAACTTATTTTTGCAATGAGTCCTTATGTAGTAATCAGTAAATCCAACAACATTATTTCATTTTATTTAACAAGCTATATAGAATGCTCTTTAGAGTTTTAGTTTAGCTAAAGAGCATACTATGCTCTATATATAGCTTGTTTAAATAAAATAAAATAATGTTTTTTTGCAATGTGTCCTTATGTAGTATATAGTATGCTCTTTAGAGTTTTAGTTTAGCTAAAGAGCATACTATGCTCTATATATAGCTTGTTTGAATAAAATAAAATAATGTTGTTGGGTTTACTGATTACTACATAAGGACACATTGCAAAAATAAATTTGGATAGGCAATATTGTGAAACAAATTTTTATATAGCTGAAAATTGTTTTATATAGCTAAACATATATTGTAAAATAATAGATAAGGCAAAATTGTAAAATTAATTTAGGTTGATATATCTGTATGGTTTACCTGTTTGGGTTACCTTTATAGCATAAATAGGGTTAGCTCGCATTAGTTTCTAGTTTTAATCTTCCTCTTTGAAGATGATCACTTGGTGATCGAAACAAGTGTCTAGGTGTTAAAAATAAAGATTTGCTGTTGGGAAAAAACTTCAGTATCATACAGACACAATTAGACAGGAAATAAAACAAAGAAAGACAACAAAACGTTTTTATTCAAAGCACAATATGAAAAAATGTATAACATAAGGCACGTGTTTACTGGCCATATACAATGATTCATCTTCATTATAAAAAATATCTGACATCGGTATTTCATACACAAGTCGTTATATAAATATGTATAAAAATATTTCTCTGACAAATTCACTTCAACATATCTCTCTCTATATACAAAAACAGCAAAGTAACCAAAATATATTACACGATAAAAATTCTTTCGGTGTAATTCTATTACCTAAGTATTTAATAATTGCCATATATTGTCGTTAAGAGCTAATCAAGGCATCTCGGTGATATTTCTCTAGAATCAAAAAAAGTTTTGAGGAGGTTTCAATCTCGTCATTGAAGATTTTTTCCCATTCGAAATATATTCCATAAACTAAATGGCAATAATTGGAGTCTATAAATTTGATTCCAGAAATGTTTCGCCTAGAAGGTATTGGTTTTATGTTTTTTTGCTCCAAATTTCTGCTACCTAGTTAATTTTATCGCACGTTTTCAAGTTTTTTTTACAAACAGGAAGTGGCGATCGATTTCTTATGCAAATTTCGCACCATAATATTCTTCGTGAAACTATTATCTTTTATAGCTCTTCTCTGGTCATTTGAAAATAAATTTACGAAGTCGTTCAGAAATATTACTCTTCCTCATAAAATTTTTCGATAAAAACAATACCTAATCCAATTCCTCCCAGTTCCAACAGAGTGATACAAAAAAGTTTTCATTCACAACAAATAATAATTATAGTATCAGCTAGAATACTAAATCCCTTATACTTAAATGAATGTTCAGTGTATTAAAAAATATAATATGAGCGGACAGGCACTGCTTCAAAAAAATCGTTGTAGATACGTTTCGATAATCAATGTTTTTATTTTTAGTCTCATCCAATACTAAACGAACCGTTTTGTTCCGAAGAAACATGAGAAAAATAAGATGGAATCAGATTATTATCTTTGTCATCAATAAAAAATAGCTGCCATTTCAATGTACATAATTTTTCGAAATAATTACATTTCCAATTTTGATATATAGAAAAAATTGCAAAATCAAACATTGCTACTTATGAAACTTTTTTTATATTGAAAATAAAAGGAATTCTATTCATTCTCAAATACCCAGAGAGCTAATTTACAATAAGGAATATTCAGTTGTTATTTTTCAACACTTCATTCAACACCATGTGCTAATCATTCCGTGACAAAAACCATTTTGCAATTGAAAATCACTAAAATTGACTATATTATATTGAGTGGACGGAGTAGTATCACAAAATGTGGAAATAGTACAAAAACAGTTCAATAAAAGGATCTGTTATTTGCTATTTTGATATTTTGAAAGTTACAATTACCAAATATTACTGAAAGACCTGAAATTCTCTTGTGGCTAGATTTTTACACCACATTTCACCCAGTAAAAAAATCAGTAACAGTATCTGTTATGAACAATAAATACAAAAATATAATTACTCGTAAGCAATGGACTTCTTTCAATATAAACAAATTATGTTTTTCCTGATCCTTTCGCTGAACCGAAACAAATGTTTCGATCAAGATTAACAACCAAACTTAACAGAGTAACTATCAATAACATTTCCACACTTACACAAGTAGATGATGTATGTACACTGGCCAACTAAGTACTATAACGTGAAAATCCAATCAAGAATCATTTATTTAAATAAATATTCTAACTAAGAACGCAGAATCAATCTCATGTTTCATTATTTTTATTCAAAAAACTCTAAATCCATTCCCAATAACGGAAAAATGTTGAATCAAATTCAACAATTCATTTCAGGTTTTCAATTTTTCGGAAATAACTTTCTGATTCTCTATAATCAAACTTGATGTCCACTCACATAGAACACCATCATTTTCAATAGTGCACTTCGAAGTTTCGGGACAAAACACTTGTCTTATCAGCACCAAATAACATCCCAAGAAAAAGCACTCGATTCTTTCATAACGACTTTGATTACGGAGAAGTTATGAAAGAAACGAATCTATTCATTATACTGGTCATGGAATTTTCACAAATGAAATTTTCATTCTAGTACCGTAGGGGTCAAGTAACGAGCTAGTGTATTCTTAATTCGAATAAATGAATTTTCCATCTTGTAAAGTTATCCAAAACGGTGCTGATGAGGTGATACAACAAATGTTTTTTCCAGACACTTCGAAGAGGAATGCTAAAAAGTTTTATTCGATGTATCATCACAAAACTTTCTTTGTGAAGTAGGGATATGTTGTGGAATGTGACTCAGTTTAGATTTATGAAGAACTACAAGTTTTCTGCATGAGATTGGTCCGTAGCCATAGATTCAACATTCATATTTTTCATATCAAAACATTTTTCCTCTACGAATAATTTCAACTCCTCCCAGTTTTCGATTGACGCAAACCAAACGAGATCTTTTGCCCCCGAACCCCCATAATCCCACATCTAAAGAAATTAAATAGGAACATCCTAGCCCACACCCCTTCCATCCCATCAAGTGAAGTTTCCCACACCCCCCACTTGCCTTTCCAAAGTCAAGTCCAGCGGCGCCATTTTCACCGGCTCTTCCACTCCCACGTCTATACTCTGTTCCCGTTCACTGTCATAATTCTCCTCCTGGAGAGAAACCTTTCCAGCACTGTCAGCCTTCACGGAGAGATCTATCGGCTGATCCTGATCAGGAGCAGGGGCAGCTAGAGGAGGGGGAGGCGCGCGAAGCCACAAATCCCTCCAAGCCGAAGGGTCTCCGATGCCTTGGAAGGGAGGAATCCACTTAGGGACCAATCCGCTTGGGGATACTGACGGTAACGAAGCAGGGGATACCGACTGCGCTGAATTTAGAACACCCGCGACCTTTTTCCGCGCGAAAAACTCCGAATCACTCGAGGAGGAAGCTAGCTTCTTGCTACTGTAATAAAAGTCCTTGTCACTAGATGGCGACGCTGATGATTTGAGATAACTCAAGGCACTCGTGGACCTCATTTCGTCCTCCATATCTGCAGAGGAGGCTCCGCTGTCGGACTCCGAGGACCTGTCTCTGGGGGTGTGAGGGGTAGTTATCTGGGGACTGCGGAACAGGGGGGATAGGTAGGGATGTGGTCGCAGGAGGTTAGCTGCTGCGGCAGCAGCCATGTTGGCGCCTGCTTGCTGCTGCTGCTCCTGGAGGAGGCAGTGGATTTTGAACCAGTTGGAGCGCCTGCCGTACCGCGAGCCGCTTTTTGACATGCCGACGAGGAGGCATTTTCGGAGGCGGCACGCTTTGCAGGCTGTGCGGTTTTTCTTGTTGATGATGCACTCGCCGTTGTTTTTGCATTCGGAGATGGAGCTGATGTTGTTGTAGGTTCTTCCAAAAAAGGACTGAAAAGAAAATTAAGCATTAGATAATGATAGTATTCATGACAATGACTACAAATGTTCACAATAAAGACTCAATTTTCAAAACGCATGTGACTACATTGTGGAGGACTCAGTTGGACTGGAATCTACATTATATTAGCCATTTGCTGCATGAATAAAACTTTTATTAAATTGAAAATAATTATAAGATAGACAAATATTCAGTAGATGTGGATTTTTTGTTTTTCTAAAGGTTCGATTTACAGAGAGACGCTCATTCACCTCAAATATTTCAAAGGGTGGAATACTGAGAAATAAATTTCGGACATCAAACAATATGAGTTGAGCATTATATTATCAAGAAGAGTTATGACTTTCGAAGTTATTCATGATATGGATTTCCTTTTATCCCTTCCTGGTAAAGTTTTGTAGGATCTTCTCTCAGAATATCATAGGTTCCTGAAGTTTTTCCGGCGTATTCTTTTTTGTCTGTACCAATAACACTTCGACGTAGGAATGGGTCAATTGAGGCTAAGCCTATGGTAAGCCTAGCGCTTACTGCACTCAATCGCCACAAAAGAAATAACCAGGAAAGGAATTTCTGGCAAAAACATAACAATCTGCACTATAATAATATACAATATTGAATAGGTAACATATTATGTTGTCTAGTTTGAGGTTAAACTATCTGAAAACCGAAAGTTCGAAGTACTTGTAGGTTTTTGAGTAATTAAATGTCTATTGCTCAAATCCTACCCCTTGAAGAACACAGTTTGATATATGAAGTAAAGAGATTAAACAGTTGACAATGTAAGCATCAGAGAGTTAGTGAGTAATGCTAGATCTGCAGCAAATATCTTTCATTGAACATAATGTATATAATGTTCCTAATGATGTGCGAATAACAAATATGCAGTATCTATATAAAGGTAGGTTATATTTATTTCCTGAGTACCTGGATATGTATTGTAATAAAAGTTTCAGTTTTACATATGCCAACACTGGATGAGGAACACAAAAGGTTTGACTGCGTGGATGATTTGTTCGGGAATTGATATTGATTTGATTGGGGCCCGGTTTCAATCGTTCGATGAATAGTAATACGGGGAGTCGCACGGAGCCATTTTATGACTTGAGTTTTAAATTTGCGGAATATTTGTATGTTTTTTGTTTCATATGGAAGAAGGTCATGAACTCTCAGTGAAATATAACAATGATTTTTAGAACCTATTAATGGATTTCTTTATTGTTACTTCGGTTTTGTTTCTTGTCTCATAGCTTGTCTCATAGCTTGTCTCATAGCTATGTTCTCCATATCGAATATCGTTTTTATTTTTGAACTGGTGAATCAGTAGAGTTTGACAGTAAATTTGCCCTGTGAGTGCGGAAAATCTGATATAGGTGAAACTAAGAGGCCATTGAATGTTCGCATTGCCGAGCACAAGAAACACACACAGCGAGGGGAAATCAGCAAATCAGGATTAGCAGACCATGTTTGGACCCATCAACACAACATCGAGTGGTCCCAAGCTGAGATCTTGCACAGAGAGGAACATTGGTTCAGGAGAAAATTCAAGGAAGCCGCATACATGTTGTCCAACAACGTATTCAGCTAAGCCAGCGTAGAAATACGCAACATATGGAAACCCATCATAAAGTGAAAAATGGCCACCTCCCGCCAAAACGGTCATCTCCCACGGAACCAGTGAAGCGGAAAATGGAAAGCGGGGATAAGTGAAAGTACTCGAACGACCTATAAATAGTTATCTCTCGGAGGAATCAGTCCAGTCATCACCCGGAGATGATTGTAGATACTAACAATCGAAACGTCGTGAACTAACGTGACTTGGAATCGCTCCACTTTTTATTTTTATTTTCTTTCTATTTTCACTTGTATTTTATTTCACTATTATTTCATTTCAGGTTCATTTTGGTTAATATAATTCTTATTTTCAGCTATTCTTCTTTAATTCTTCTTTTTTAGTTGTTTCAGGGATTTCAAATCATTTTATATAGTAGACAATGGAAGTCCGAACTAGTGAAATTTAAGTGCTACTGACTTGTTCTTCCACTCAACCTCAAAAAGATTCTACCTAAGCTGAAACAAAAAAAAAGTAATACATAAAATAAAAAAAAATTGGGATTGTTCCAATATCTATTTGGATGCTGGAGAAGACGTCCTCTGGTCTCATAATGATGAAAAGTGTACAGGGTTGGGCAGTTTATATTTAAAATTGGCTTTCGAACAGAAGTAGTTTGAATCTTTTCCGTAAAACTGAAAGTTCTGATTTTTTTTATTTCTTTTGGTAACAGGTTGATCACTTGGCAAATATAGCTAAAAGATTGTACTGATGTTCAGATTGTGAACATCAGTACGAAAAGTGATTTTTCGTACTGGCGGCGTTTTGGTTTGTATAATTTTGTTATATAAATTAGCAGCATTCATTATCCGTCTATTTTCCATTGTGATCCACATTGTTCTTCATTCTTTACCAGCCATATTGTATATTGTTATTATCAACTTCAAATATGCTTATGATACCTTCAATAATTACCAAGCTCTCTACCACTCCTAGAATTTATATATACATTTTTAGATTGGAATTTTAATAGTTATTTTTATATTTTAACTTAAACATGTATATACATTCTACACGTAAATTAATTTTAGATTTTCTTATCATATTTTGACCTCTAATATTACTCTGAATTGAATAACTTTTTTCGAGATCAATTGCCCTAACACCAAACTGATATTTTTGGCACTCGACGCGCGTTTCGCCAACAAAGTTAGTATCCTCAGGAGAAGGATGCTATTGATTGATTGATCTCGAAAAAAGTTATTCAACTTTCACACCAAAGGTTCCAATCTCATCGTTATTACTCTGAATGTTTATATTGTTATATTACTTTAAATTAGCCTCATATATGTATGTATATCCACACACAAGCAGTACTGCTTCCGTGATATTACTTTATTCACAATATGTACCCTATATTGCTGTGAATAAATTATTATTATTATTTCTACACTATTGTACACTATTGAAGGATTGATTTGAAAACAAAAAAACTCGATAATGAGGTTTTATGACATGAATATTGAAAAGTTTCCTGATTGTTTGAAAAATAACGAACACCTAAATGGACATTTTGAATCACTAATTCCAAAATGTTTTCAAGGAATCATCCAGATATGGGTGAAACATTGGGTAACACTCTGATATGATTACAATGCCTTCGTTCTGTTATCAGACTAATTAAAACAAGGTGACCGTACGATAAATCTTGGGATCCCGTCAATTAAGGCACCTAATAAAGAAACATGACCTATATTTCACTCGGTTTCGTTCAGTTTCAACATCTAATTATTATTTTATGCAAATGCATTCATATCGATTTTCCAGAATAACGTTAGAGTAGAGTTCAGCAGATTCGAAATATATAGAAAAATAGTTATAATAGCTGAATTTATCTTAATCACCCGACGCGGTGATGTGTTATTTGAATTTCTAATGTATTCCCGAAGATTAACCTCATATTGACCTCTGGGTTAGCGTGACTGATTCAGGTTAGTTTCGAGAAGGTTTCGTGAAGTGGAGGAATTTATATGGTTTCTGATAAAAAAAGCGGTTTCGATATTCAAATTGAGTTAATGGTGAGAATCATTTTAATATATCAACCGAACGGCTGGGTGATTTTATTTCGAGTCATAAAGCCACCGAGAAAAAGATTGTTTTTGATAAACGCTATTCAACAGTTGTTTCAGGCTGTAATTTTCAGTAAAAAGCGTTTTGATATCAACGGTAGTACCATAAATGTTCCCAGCATAAGAAATTTTTCATCAATAGATACGTATAAATGAAATTCCATTTGCCGACAAGTTTTCGCTTGAAAAATAAAGGAGTATCATCTTGAAGTTATGCGCGGCTTGCGAGAAGCAATACGAAGAAAACGCCTGGCATCGTGGAAAAATAATTCATGGCTTTTGCAATACAATAAAGCACCTGCTCAGTCATAATTTCTTGTTCGTGTTTTTGCCCAAAACAACACCGAAATCATGCCTCAGCAACCGTATTCACCAGATTTGGCACCTTGTGATTATTTCGTGCCCCCCAGTATTGAAGAGACCCATGAAAGGACGGACTTTTGCGACGATTGAGAAGATAAAAACGAATCTTCGAGATTGCTCGAGAAAAATTAAAATTCACCTTATTTTTTTTGACAGACCCCGTAAATCAAGTTGTACAGAAAACAATTACCAAAATAATAGGTACAAAAGGACTTGGAAAAGAAGATAAAATCCCACATTGAAAGTTTAACACTCATAAAAATTAGGTCAAAATTTTTATAATTGAATTGTTTTGAAATGTAAGAGTACCATTGAAAAAATCATTGACATCATAAAAGGCAAATTGTAGTTTTAATTTGAAATTATTGAGATCTACATCCTTGGCTTCTGCAAGATGGACGGTATTGTAATGCCTCTATCTTTTCAAGGTTTTTCCTAGACCATTTTAAAGACTCGAATAATTTTCAGTATCGGTTTCCTTCAAATCATTCTGAATTCAATCTTTTTTTTTTCATACAGCAGGCATTGGTAGACTTGTTGTTGAGATGACGCAGAATCATCTTCTATTTTCGGCACCCCTGGGTATAAAGTTCTAATACCGAATTAAAAATAAGAAAAAGATACTTGTTGCTAGATCTTTCAGTTGTAAGAAACGATAGGGGTTAGAATTTTATGTATATAGGATCAGATGTGTTGTTTATTCCCGATATCTCTTGCCATTGTTGACAAAAAATGGTGGGGCCCTAAAGCAAAGAAAAATGCAACATAGGTTCCTTTCAGTCAGTCACTTAATTGATAAGGAGAAGACAATTCAAACTGTTTCGTTCTGCTTTCAGAAATATGAAGTCTTGTAGTTCATAATTCTTCCATATGATCCAAAATACTTTCCTATTGCTCCAAATTTTTAATGAATCATGACATGAGTATACAATAACGACTCTTCTCCATAGGAAGACTTGGTCTCTGGTCTGGATTCCTGCCCATACTGGCCTGGAAGGCAACGATGCTTTGGTCGAGTGTGAATAGGTGTGAGCCACAACAAACCCTTGCGGGTTGCAGTGGAGGCTCGAATAGATTCACTCGCTTAAGACCTAACCCAACCTAACATAAACATATTTCAACAGCATAAACAACTGAACGGGATCATAAACAATGATTTCTTTGATACTCATTATGAAAGACTTTAACTAAGACTCATCTCCTGACGATGCAAATGCGAAACGTGTAACGAGGGACAATGCTGGATCTGACGTGGAACAACTGTTGTCATTAGGTACAACTGAAATGTCAGAACATCTAAGAAATAGAAATGAGTGGAGTCTCATGTCTATGTCGAAACAAATTGAAGAAAAAAGATATATCTAGTCTTGACTTCAACTTCGATATCTCATCCCGTGATTCTAAATGAGTCTTGAATAAGATTAGGGTATATGATGATTTTTTTCAGTTTTCAATTCAAAACTAGAGAATATTGAGTGGACCACCTGCTATTCCGTACATCAACTAAGAAAATGAACCAGACTAATTTCACATTATGAAGACCACTTTCAATAAAGTTCGTGACGCGCGTAGGCACAAATTCCCTCTCGACTCTTTATTGGCCAATAACTTCTAATAGTGCGTGAATTTTTCCAACAAATTGAAATTCCTACGCCACAAAAACCGCTCGCTCGTTCATTATGTTACAAAATTCGAATAATTATTCAAATATCGGGGTCATTACTACATCCCACACTGGCAATAAACTGAATTCAGATTCACGGTATACGGTACAAAATGTTGGTTTTGCTTCGGGCACCAGAAAATGTTTGGTGTTACTTTTTCATTCCAAAGATAACTTTTAGTACGTTGAATATGACGCGTTTAGATACCCATATTCTACACACTTCAGGCACTTCTCTAATATACTCGTAGGCACGATTATTTGAAAAATAACGTGTATACTTGATTAAAATACATAATGTATTCAAATAACATACTCTTGGTAGGTTTTTAAAGAACAGTGTACAGAACTGCAACAATTGTATCACTTTATAATAGAATACTGCTCCAAAAACCGCATTGTGGATGTAGCCACATATCGATGGTGATCAGATTGTTCGTACAGACACTGCGTCTGTTATACATACTCAACCATTCTTATAAAACACCATTCTTAAAAAACAATTTTGGACTTTTCGAATTCGACAATCTATACATGAGCCACACACAATGTCACAGTGACTGAAATGGGACAATATCATAGTATCGCTCAACATTTTCATCACCTCCAAACTCAAATACATTCTCTGCTGATATACCAACTCCAATTACCAATGAAAATGTCCTTATAGCATGTGAATGAAAAACTCCTGAATATATTTCTTTTTCCAATGAACTGTACTATATTATGAAATCAACTTATCAAGAAAATCTCATCTTCGTCGTCAGACATCTTAATAGGAAGCCAATCGAAGTATCGCATGCAGACGCGGTCTCGCTTCATGTTCCTGTATTATAATTTCTAAAAATATTTGATGTAAGAATAAATAATAGTATTAAATAGTTTCAAAACGGTAACGAAATTAGGATTGTGTCGAGAATAGGGCCTCACGAAATTTACTTTGCCCACATTAAATTTGGGTCTTGCGCCGCCACTGAACGTTAATTACAAATACAAATGGTTTGGAACATAAGAAGTTTCATTTCTCATTTTTTATGATGATCTCTTATTACGTAGAAACGGCTACATCCATCAATTTCTTGGAACAATTATTTGCATGTGTTGCTGAATGCTATTTCAATCCACGGTGATTTGGCAACACAGACTGAATATATAACAACTTATTTGACAGATGTAGCTTCAATAAGATAGCCGTGATCAATTGCCAAAGTTTGAAAGTCCCTGTTGGCATTTTGATGCAGCAAGGTTGTTTCTGTGTCTCGTGTGTATTTCCACAAAGCGTCGGTTTTCTGGTTGATGATCAGCAGTTTACCGATAGTTTCTAGCTTGTGGTAGTTAGTGCTTGTGTTGTGGTGAGCAGATTGCCATCGTTTCTGGTGAGTACCACCCAAATTCATAATTTCGTTGCTCACGCTTGTCACTAGTATCTTCCGGCGATTTCTAACTTCAAGCAGATGGAAAAACTGCTGGCCTGGCCGGAAAGAATAGGGTTGATTTCGTTGGCATTGTCTGCCGGTTGATTTTTTCTCTGGGCTTGGCCCATTCAGAGAATCAGAGCTGCATGGCAAAAAAGGGCCAGATCTCGGGGCCGGCTGTCATACTTTGACGAGTCGGTGAAGCGATGTGGCTCCTGTTCCGTCTGCCGGTCAATTTCATAACTCCGACAATAATTAATCTCTGTTCCTCCTGTTCTTCTGTAGATGAAAAGAGGCGTTTCAACGATGGTTTCTCCACGCTACCTGACATGTCTAGATGTAGGTTAATAATAATAATAATAATAAACGACTTTATTCATAACGAAAGAAAAAATAGGTATATCTAATGTGTTTTTAAGTTTATTGAATTATGACGAATGTGCGACGTGTCAGCTGAATATGTTTTTCAGTTCAACCCTGGTAGTGAACAGATATATGAAAAACTAAATCTATGCAAATAATATCGCTAATGGTACGTTTCCTAAAATTATTACAAAACGATTCATTTGAAAATGAATAGCATGATGTTATCATTTGAGCAGAATTTATTGGCGATGAGCATTTTTTTGAGGTCTGCGGACAGCCAGTAGTCGCTGGGAGCCAAATCTGGCGAATACGGTGGCTGTGGGAGCAATTCGAAGTGAAATTCATGTAGTTTTGCCATTGTTTTGATTGATTTGTAATGGAACAATTTTTTTTGTTTGCTTTATGCTGTTGTTTCTTTGGAATTTCGGCCTCCAAACGCTCCAATAACGCTATACAGGGTGTTAATTAAGTATGTACCATAAATTTAACAGACGATTATTTAGGTAATTTTAAGACGAAATGTTCATACAAACATGGGTCCGCAAATCCTCCGTTTACAAGATACAGGGTGTTGAAATAAAAATAAAATAAAGTTATTCGTAAATATTTCAAATATCATTTACCTAATTTTTTTGAAATTTGGCAATGGTATTTATAACATTAAGGAGTTGATTTAGTCCGAACGTGATTCAATTCATTAAGTCCAGTGGCGTCTCGAGCGGGATTTGCAATTTTTATTATTTCTTTGGATTAAGCAATTAGAAATACAACTTTACGTACATCTTGCTTAGTTTTTAAGAAAAAAAGTCGACCTAATTGCATATCCCTNTAATATACAGGGGGTTTCATTTGAAAGAATGAACTTTTGACTACTTTTATGCTCAATGGAAATAATAGTAATTTTAGCACGCCCTGTATGATATGGAGTCGATTTCTTGGTGTTATTTGAATATTTCGAGTTTGTCCAAAATAAATGATCATTCTAAGCCACTTACTTACTGTAACTTGAATATTTATGTTGGAAAATGTTAGTATAACAGAAAAAGTCATACTTCTGAAACAAAACATAAAATATTTACCTTTTCCAATACCTAAATCCACAATAGCTACCACTATTGTATGGTTCATGAGAGCAAGAAAACATGCAATTATTCCTTGGGTGAAGGATTGTAGCCAACTGATTACCATATTACAGTTTACTCATAAAATCTGTTTGAAAAATGAAGAAATAGCCTCCCTATTATTGAACCACCGACAATAAGTAGTGTAGGCGTTACTCCCAACTAACCACCGGCCCAAGATCCCGTCTTTGAAGCACCCCGCAAATCACTTCTCTCCTGAAGCGAATCGTCGTAATAGAATTCGATTGTAAACCGTATTTAATGCTCTACACGGGTCTGCAGCGGAATACTCGCCAATATATCACGAAAATGCGTAGTTATAAAATAAATTATAGGACAGCTCCGAGTACGAATTCGAGAAGATCTCAGTTAATGCGTCTTGTAGCTTACCGTGGTTCTCCATGAATGTCACTCGCGGCCGTGAATTGTGGCTGGAGATAATTGTTGTGGTAGTACAAACTTATACTACGGAGGTATTAGATATAAAAGTGGGCTCTTCGATAATATTGAATCTTGGGAACTGATAAAAGTCGCAGGGGAGCAAATCTGGTGAATACGGTGGCTGGGGCATGATTACGGTGTTGTTTTAGTAGGAACAAGCAACGTGATGCAAAAGCCAAATCTTTTATTTGTATTGCTTCTCGCGAGCAGCGCATAACTTCAAGATAACAGTCCTTATTAACCGTAAGACCACGTGCCGAGAACTCTTGATGCACTACGTCACGGTAATCGAAGAAAACAGTGTGAAAAGTCTTGACGTTTGGTCGAACTTGGCGTGCTTTTTGTGTTCTTGGCTCTTCTGGGATCTTCCTTTGGGACGATTCGATTTTGGTTTCGATGTCATAACTACATGTAATTCGTCACTAGTTATGACCCTTTTCAGGAAATCTGTATCGCCGTTGACGTCGTTCAACAACTCTTGTTTTCTTTTCTTTATATGCATACTCAAGCAATAATTGATTTTAAATGCTATGTTTACAGCCCAGTTTTTGAGGGGATTGGATATATTCAAACAAAGTTGGCCAAATATGTTAACATTCTAAAATTCTTTTCCTCGTATTATTGAAGCATATGACTTTATGACTTGAGTGTATAGTGTCTATAGAACCTAGTAGATTACTGTTGTTACCATTGTTTTGACATTCACATCCGACAACGGATCATCCACTAGTTTGTGAATTAGGCTGTTGAAAGCTACTAATTTCTGTTGATATGGTTTTGATTAGTTTCAACTCCGGTTTGAATCTATCTTCATCCATCCTTTCAGATCTCAGATATATGCAATACATGTATTTATTCCCAAAAGTTTTTTCATCCATGTTGGGTTTGATATTATAATCAAGACCTTTTTCCATTGCCAGAAAAGATGTTGTCAGCAAAATCAACAAATCTATCAAATAACTTATCCTATATTTCCTCACCATGAGCAACTGCAAAGTATGGCGTGCTTCATGTTCGATGTTTTATATAAGTTGAACTGAAAGAACATTCAGAACACGCATGAAAGAACATAGAAATAGTTTTCAGAACAGTTTGAAACTTGACCTTCTGGACAGTTTGGAAAAATCCTCAATATCCGATGAATGGTCAAATTCGGTTGAATACCTTCCCGTTTGTTTGATATGTTGATACCAGATAATCAGGCTATGTCGCTCTAAAATGGGCAACAGGATCATTTTCACTATCTCCCAAGGCACCAACTCAGTAAACTAAGTAGTATTCAAATCAGAGAGTTGACTAAGAATCACTCCCAGATATTGCCAGAGTTTTTTCCACTAAATGTTTCATTGGGGGTATCACCTTGGAACTTTCTGGAATCAAAAAGCAAGCACTCATGAAATTGCTGCTCTTATGTAGAAACTTTGGTGTTGCCAGTATGAAAGCCTGTTTCGAACCTTCCAAATATATTTACCTTGTATTTCATTTTGTATCGTCAGAGTTTTTTCTACTAAATGTTTCTTTGGGGGCTCCATCATGGAACCTTCTGTAATCAAAAAGCAGGCACTCATGAAGCTGCTGCTCTTTTGTAAAAACCTTGGTGTTGTGAGCATGAAAGCATATTTGGAACCTTCCAAATTTATTTAACTTGTATATAATTTTGTATCCCCAGAGTTTTTTTACTAAACGTTTCAAAGGGGGGCTTCATTATGGAACCTTCTGGGATCAAAAAGCAGGTACCCATGAAGCTGCTGCTCTTATGTAAAAACCTTGGTGTTGCAATCATAAAAGCCTATTTGGAACCTTTCAAATATATTTACCTTTGTATCGTAAGAGTTTTTTCTACTAAATGGTTCATTGGGGGCTTCATCTTGGAACTTTCTGGGATCAAAAAAGTAGATACTTTTCTGTGATAACCTCAGTGTTGCAAGCATAAAATCCTATTTGGAACCTTCCAAATATATTTACCTTGTATTCAATTTTATATCGTGAGAATTTTTTACACTAATTATTTTTTTGGGGGTTCTGCAAGCATAAAAGACTATTTGGAACCTTTCAAATATATTTACATTGTATTTAAGTTTGTATCGTAAGAGTTTTTTCTACTAAACGGTTCATTGGGGGCGTCATCTTGAAACCTTATGGGATCAAAAACAAATACTCTTGAAGCTGCTGCTCTTCTGTTATAACCTCAGTGTTGCAAGCATAAAAGCCTATTTGGAACCTCCCAAATATATTCTGGGATCAAAAAGCAGACACTTATGAAGCTGCTGCTCTTTTGTAAAAACCTTGGTGTTGCGAGCATAAAAGCCTATTTGGAACCTTCCAAATATATTTACCTTGTATTCAATTTTGTATCATCAGAGTTTTTTCTACTAAATTTTTCATTGGGGGCTTCATCGTGGAACCTTCTGGGATCAAAAAGTAGGCATTCATGACGCTGCTGCTCTTATGTAAAAACTTTGGTGTTGCAAGCATTAAAGCCTATTTGGCACCTTCCAAATTTATTTAACTTGTATTTAATTTTGTATATATCTCAACACGTTTCCAGAAAAATCAACGAAAAACTGATGCATTTATGCTAACAAAGCATCTCTAGAATTTTCTTGAATTGTCTAGTTCACCTGTACAATTGTGCGTATCTCAACATTATGTCGATATACCGAGCTTTTAGCTCCGAAGGTAATGATTCATATAGTAGATGCACAACCATTGTAAAACGTTAAACATTCACATCTAGCGAGAGCTTTGTGTGAATATGGCCATCGTAATTTCTAGAATTATGTTCTTACATGTGCATTAGCATGTATTAATGAATGGGGAGTAGGCGATCATATTGATTTATCGCCGATGTCCCATTAATAAATGGGTTACAGGTTAGTTTGGCGTTAATCTGGAGTTCAATTCTTTTTTGTATGATAGTAGAACTATCAAAGTGACACCATTTTGCAGAATTCATGACTTTTCAGAGGTGGTTATAATGACAGAATGGTACTGGATGTAAATGGATGTAAAGTCGTCAGGAGTTCGGTTCCC